TTCATCTCCAAAATCATAGAACGTGTCGTAGTAGGTGAACTTGTAAATCATTTAAATAAACATAATTTGTTCCCGATTCATTAATCTGGATATAAATGTTACCATTCTACAGAGACGGCATTGTTATATGTCTTGTCTGAATTATTTGCCTCCATCGACAAACAGAATATTGCTCTACTCGCATTTTTGGACATGAGTGCAGCGTTTGACTGTGTCAATCATCAAATTCTGTTGAACAGATTAATTCACGACTTTGGCATTGCTGGAACTGTTATCAAGTGGTTCGACTCCTATTTGACTGGAAGGACTCAACAGGTATTTTGTCTAGTGTAAAAACAAAGTCATCCGGAGTGCCACAAGGTTCAATACTTGGACCTATTTTGTTCATACTGTATACAGCTGATGTATTTAATGTAATTGATATTTTTGGTTTTTCTTATCATGCATATGCCGACGACATTCAAATAATAGTCAGCAGTGAACCAGATCAGTTCGAAAGTGCAGTTGAAAGACTAATAAAATGTTTGGCTGAAGTTGACACAGGGATGTCAAAAAATTGTCTAAAACTTAATCAAAATAAATCACAGTTTTTACCAGTGGGCACCTGGCAGCAGCTATCAAATGTAAAAATTGATTCAATAATGATTGAAGATAATGAGATAAAATTTTGCAAGAAGGCTACCAATTTGGGATGTATTTTTGACACTAAATTAAAACTTTGTGACCACATAAAATCGCAATCAAAATCATGTTCAGCACAACTTCAACAAATATACCGAATAAGAAAATATCTGAATCAAACTGAAACACAATCATTGGTTCATGCGTTTGTCCACTCGAGATTGGATTGTTGCAACAGTCTGTTTTATGGGTTGCCAGAAAGGTCTATCGCTGACCTCCAGTCTATTCAGAATAGAGCTGCAAAGGTGATTGTTAGAGGCAGAAAATACGATCATGTGACGCCAATTCTGAATAGCCTCCATTGGCTAACAGTGAAGAAACGAATTTTTTACAAAATATGTGTCATTATGTACAAGGCCATAAACGGACAACTCCCAGAATACTTGGCTGATAGATTCATAAAGAAGCCGCTGTCTTCGACTGGCAGACGCATGCGATCAGATGACGTCAATTTGTTGATTGTACCAACTACGCAGCTGCAGACATCGTCTAGAGACATTGCAGTGTCGGGACCAATCGTCTGGAATAGTCTGCCAATGTCGATGAGAATGTCAATGATGAACATTGTTGATTTCAAAAAGAATTTGAAAACTTATCTATTTGCGATGAACGATTGTAATTGATTGTATCATATCGTCTATTGATAGGATGTACATTATTTCACTGTTCGTTTTTTATTTTTCTTTTTTCGATAGCGCTTGTGAGAGATTTTAATAGGCGCTTTATAAGTGTTTGATAATAATATATATATATATATATATATATATATATATATATATATATATATATATATATGAATGTATCTATTGAGCGTACATACACGGTACTGTACACGCATAGATCGATTTTTTTTTTATAGAAAAATGTGTTTTCGTTGTGAAAATGTACATATACAATTATTGAAGTAACGTTGCTAATGACACAAACAACAATTATTTAAAAAACAAAAACAACAACAACATGACGTCAACTATAAACAAATGTTTTTTTATACAAAAAACATAATGAAAATAATTAATAATCAAAAACGCAATTGTACCGTCAACTGGGTTGAAAGAACTAGAACAAAATTATGAATCACTTTAATATTATTTTCACACGTAATGACAACATTAATAAATAAAATAATAATATTAACAATATTAATACAGGTAAATCAAAAATTTGTAATGGTAACCTTGACAGGATGTATGTATATCGACTGTGATAAACAGGATTAAAACGTATAGAGCACGTAAATATACGTATATGTATATATTATATATATATATATATATATATATATATATATATATATATATATATATATATTATAGTATATATATATACTAATTAATTATGCGATGTCTAATGGTCTAAAAGTCTAGCGGTCTAGTGGTCTAGTGGTCTAATGGTGATCAATCGATGGCAATTACTGTAATTGTTGTTATTATTATTATTTATTGTTAATGTTATTTATATTATTATAATTACAAATAAAAATATTATGATTAAAATATAACTTCCCACGAACTGAACAAAACCTTTTCCCAGCCAATTCAAAACAATAAAAATAAATAAAAGTTGATTCCTACGGAGAGTTATCAACAGAAGTTAGTGAGTGGAGGAGTGCATTCATATGAAGAGAGGAACAAGCGTGAATGTAATGTATGTATGTATGTTGTTGTTGTTGTTGCATGTATTTATTTGGGTGTACTTGCTAATGCTAGAAAAAATATATAGAAATTCGAATGCCGTGTTGATGATGCAATGATAAGGACGATGAATGTGATGACGACGACGACGATGGTGATGATGGTGGAAAGGATGGTGATGATGATGACGATGATGGTGAAAATGATTACGGTTATGGTTATAATGCTAATGGTGATATCGTTCGCGATGGTGAAGATGTGATTGAGCATTTTCGACTGTTAGTTTACTTTCCTAATGCCTGCATACCGTTCTGAGTGTGTGAGTAGCTGTGTATTTGATGGGTTTGGTTGGTGTGCATTTTTCAACTTTTGCAATGTTTGCGTTTTCCTGTTTGCACATTTGTTATAGCATGCATGTTTGTGATGCATGTGATGCATGTTTGTGATGCATTTTTGTGATGCACTTGCTTGTATGAAAGGAAAGGAATGCCTCTGCTTATTGTGCTTTAAATAATACTTGTTTGTTTAACATTTTTTTCTACATTTATTCCAATTTTTTTTTATAATATATACCAGATAGAGAGTCTTTCAAAAAATATTTGTTCCGCTGGGCAGTATAACCCCAACGGATTGCCAAGAAATGATGTTGGTTAGGGTTGTCGTCACTTGTCGTCAGGGAATATTTTACATTTTTTAGTAAATATTTACTGCATGATCGTCTGTGTTAGAATTGGAAGGATGAAGTCTGAGAAAATAAAAATAGAAACATTTAGTCAATTTGGTGAGTATCGAAATGAATGTCAAATAAAATAGAGCCACAACACTCAAACATACAAGATTAAAAAAACAATTAAAATTTAGATATAAACTTATTATATAACATCAACAAACTTGCCAGCAAAGCAATCTTTGTTTGTTGTGTTAGCAATTTTTGTTTGTTGTATTGTTTGTCCATTTTATATAAACTATTTATCTTGGATAACTACTGTATGACACACTCGACCTTAAATAAAGTAAGAAGTAAGAATCGTTAACAGTTCCGTATATAATTTTACTAATTTCCGCTATAAACAAAACTCCCATTCTAACTTTGAAAACTAACAGCATTTTTAAAACTGGACCACTTTTCCAACGGCAACTACAAAAAGCTACGGCTGTGCACTGAAAACCTGCCGCCCAAACTTTGGCTGCGTATGACCACACAGTATTCTAACCCTTATCTCGTATAATGGTCAATAACATGGGTTTGGTTAATACATTTGATAGGTTATTTAAAGTTAACAAGCCGCGTCTAACTTGCACAAATGTTTCAATGTATTTGTTGATCTGCTTGTGCCTAAACAAACCCTAACTTCAAATTTTATTAAAAAAAAATTGATACCAGAACTTGTTTTGGTTGTAGGCCTACTAGAGAATGCAAAATAGACATGAATTGTTATAAAAATAACATTCACATGAATGACATAATTTATTTGTCACCACTCGAACACTGCAGCACAACATGCACAGATGACCATTTCCACTAAGATAAGTTTTAATATACCACAAAAAAAACACAGAACATTTTGAAATAAAATATTTTCTCACAAAATGACAAGTATAATTATTTTATCCATTTTCGCCATCCACCTAAAATAATTTTGAAACAGTTGTCTCCGTCTCATCTTCAACAAGCAAGTAACCTCTAGTGAATGAAATTTATTTTCAATAGGGTCTTCACATCAGGTCGGAAGGAGGATTTTGCTTAGGTGAATTAACGCTGCTTTCCATTGCCACAGCTTTTGAGAGTTTTTAACAAAGGTGGAAACCCTTAGCATTCCAGTAGATACGCGCATTTCTTTACATACTTATAAAGTATAAGAATTTTATAAGCTTTCTGACAATTTTATAAGCTTTCTGACAATTTTTTCAAAAATTAAACCAAGCGCTTCATAAATATTTGCAATGTTACGTCATTTGTTTAATATCAATAAAAACCTTTAATTTTATTGAAAACATGAACATTTTACCAAACTAACTTTTTTCTATCTATTATTTATTTATTTACTTATAATAAAAATTTTATTCCATCACCAGTAATTCGTTTTTAAATTAAATATTATTAAATTAATGCAAAGAGGATTTGAAGCCAATCGAAATGATGAAGACCTGGATATCCTTACTTATGTGTTCGGACAATGTTCATAGTAGAAATTGATAATAATTAAAACTAGACGATGCGAATTTTATAAACGACCAAAGAATTTGCATTTATCACATTTTCACCCTTTCTATACTGGGTTAATATTATTTTAGTTTTGAAATTTATTAATTAAACCAATGCAGTTGAACAATTTATCAACTTTAAGATATATTTTTCATTTTCTGAATAATTTTTGGTGAAATTAGATTAAAATTGTTTGTTGAAGGCTAAACGGGTTGCATTGGAGGGTGTTTGAAAGGTGAACGATCAATTTCCAACAACTCGACATCCTAAATGGTTGGAGATTTGAAGTTTTCCAGATATTTTTTAATTGTTTCACATCCACAATTAACTGTTGTTTATATTATACATATACCATACATTAGAATTAAACACATATAGATAGCTTTATGTTGTTTCAATAACTTGAAACGTTTTAACGACTAATAACGTCCTGTAATGTTTCGAAGGTGAACAAGCTGAAAAAAGAATTTAGGATGAAAATGACGTCTGCCCCGCAAAAAGTCGTAAATGTTTGTGAGGCGATCGACATGGACAAACTTAATGAATATTACCCCATACATCAAAAAGTGCACAAAAATAATAAATTGGAAGCGTCCATTCAGCCGTCCGTCGATAAAGAAAACATTAAAAATGTCCCCAATGATGATGATTTTGTCACGAAAAAAATGTATAAATCTGAAGCAAATCCAAAAAGTGTTGTTAAAATGCCAGAAGGAACGGATCAAATTAATCCTAAAGCCTGTCTGTTGCAAGTTCCTACTGCTCTGCTGCAGTGTATGCTCAAGTCGGCTGCCATCAACCGTCACCATCACGTTCGCGACTCCCGAGCAGTTGCAACTGACGCTTTGCAAGAACCGCAACAAAAGCAAGTTGATTGTTCAAAAATTTCCAAAAAAACATCCTTTTCTAAACAGCAAAATAATCTTCAAACTGAGCAACAACAACAACAGCCTCATTCTTTACTCAACCAACAGCAGAACAAACTTCATCACTTATTTGAACTCTTCCAAGCACAGAAAGCTCAACAGCAACTAACAACTTCTATAACTGACCAACCAACCAAACAACCGTTACAGTTGCAGAAAATACGCCAGATGCAACAGAAAGGAAAACAGCATCCACAACAACCATTGCAACAACTTCAGCAACTACAACCACAACAACTACAACAACAAATCCAACTACAGCAACAACAAATGCAGCAGCAACAACAGCAGCAACAACAACAGCAGCTCATACAAGAGCAACAGCAGAGACGTCAGCGACAACAGGAAAGATATCAATCAGAAGATCCAGAGGTAGCAGCGGCTCATTTAAAACAAACTATCCATCCGCAACGACGTAGAGTCTCTATAGAAAGTCCTATGTATATCAAAAAGAAACAATCAGAAAAAGTACGATCAGATGGCAGAAGCATGTTGAAACCAGTTGCGCTGTACAACAAACAACCAAATGATCAAACAGAAATGATTTTAGAACACAACAAGCGCGATTTCGATCAGGCTTCTAACCATTATAGGAATATTTCGTCTCCAGCAGAAACTAATTTTGTGCAAGTCAACAATTGCAAACCAAAGAATTCTGAGAACGTTAAGTACAGTGAGATGATTAAGAAAAAAATTGCGCCTTTTAATAAAGCTCCCTGCCATTTTGTCAGATCTGCCATTCATTCAATCACTCCAATCAAAATGAATAAATTAAATAACCACGTGGAAGGCGAGAATGATTTTGAGAAAACTAAAAGAACTATATCAAAATTTGTTAAGATAAAGCAAAAGAAAAATGATTCGATGGAAAAGATTGATAGAGAAGCAGACAAAAATCTAATTCACAACCGCCAATTGAGCGCCGGTGATAGCAACAAAATTATTAATACGGTCCGCTCTGAACATGCCATAAAACAGTGCAACGCATCAGAACAGTTACTGGAAAATGAAATGAAAAAATTCCTCACCAGTTCAATAAAAGTAAATGAAAAATTCATTGGAGCTCATTGCAAAACTAATGCAGTCTTGGAGCTGAACAATTCAAAAACTGGAATGAGCGTTGAAGAGGACGACGCGATGACCGATGAAATGAAAAATAGTGAGGATGATAAAGCCGATGACAGCAATGATGATAGTGATGAAGACAGTAATGATGATAGTAGCGGTGATAGTGATGATGATGAAGAAGATGAAAGCAAAAATAAAAGCTCAAATAGTTACAATGACAACAATGTTAATGAGCGAAAATCTATTAAAAGCCACACCAGCTTGAACGATTCTAAAAAATTAGAGAACTCAGTAAAAATGAAAAACAGTTTGGTTACTCAGTTTTCAGAAAAAACTGCGCCAAGTGTCAAATTGGAAGTGCCAATTGTCAGTAACAAAAATGAAAGAAATTGTTGTCAATTGCAGGATATGAAACAAACTATAACAAAAAGTGAAACATCAGATGACGATAACGGTGATGAAAGTTCAAATTCGGATGCAGATCAGACAAGTGGCAAAGTATCTCCAAAACAACAACGCACTGGACACAGAGATAGCACTGTTCAAACAATGAAAATGAATTCAAGTCAAATTGATGAAGCAAGAAAAGAAGATAAGCCAATGGAGTCAGTGCAAAAAAGTCAGCACAAAATGTTAAAAGAGGTTGAGAAACAACAACAGCGACAACTAATGCAACAACAACTTAAGTTTAATCAAGCAACAGGGTATTCGATTGAGAACCAAAATTCAAGCAAACAAATACATACAGTTGTCAGCCGAAATTTACACGAAAATGAGAAGAAGGACAAACAATGTCACAATCACAAAGAATTAACGTCAAATGACAGTAAAGCAACGATCGTAAATAAAAAAAGTCATGAAAAATCTAGCACAAAAGAACGCAGTGTCACTCCTGATTCCACGTATGCAAAACTGGAATCTATAGCATCAACATTCATCAACCTAGATCAGACAATTACTAGCAAAACAATGGACGCTGATTTGGGTGATAGCGACATCGAGCATACATCAAAATCTGAAATAAAATTTAACGTAACTAAAAAAGCATCAAAACAAGTTGACAGCAGAGAGTCAGTGGAAAACGATAAGACGTCAACATTGTTGACGAAAGTAGCCAGCTCATCTCACCGCACAGTAAACAAATCTACAAAGCCTAGCAACTCATTTTCTAACAAAAGTGGTATAGCAAATAACTCTCAATTTCAAATTATCTCTAACGAAAAATGTATGAAACCATCGAAAGAGATTGAAAAGCAAATGAAAGAAACTACATCAAAAACTACAATAAAATTAAATTTTGAAAATGCTTATGAAGGGTCTAAATTGATAGCTCTTGAACAAAAACATTCAAATATAAACAAAACTTCAAAAGATGCAGGAGACACAAAAGTTGTTAAAACAAAATCGAAACAATTATATTCGCCCGCCAGCACAACGCATTCCGTCGAGTGTAGTAGATCCATTCAAGAATTCAAAACAAAACACAACGTCATTTACGCCATTCCAACAGTCAGGTACGCAAAGGCTCATCGAACCATTGAATCGTTGAACAACGTGCCGACCAGCATCAGGATCATCCTCTCATTGACGGCAGGTGGGACATCTTCCGCTCAATCATCGCGTAAGAAAAATGAGGATGATTCGACGTTAGGCACCTCTACTCTTACTTCAGCTCCATCTAAAAAGTTGAACGTTACTGAAGAGGAGATATTGCGTAAGACGTTTCTTCTTGGAAATGAGCACGATGACTTTCGAATGAGGAAGAAATCTGAACTGGACAAAACTGCCACACTACACGACAAAGACAACCCAAAATGTAGCAATGGCAAGAGCAATAGCATTCAAGGTAAGACAATCTTTATGGACGAAGATGAGATTAAGAGCGATTCTAAATATTTAATCGAAGCCAAACTCGCGTACTTAGCGCAGTCTAAAAATCAGTTGAAGTCAAGCTCGTCCAGTTATTTAAAATATTTCAATGATGAGGTCAATCGCAATTTTGTTGACGAAAATTTGATATCGTCTCGATGCCCTGCATATAACATAAATGATACCTACTCTGAAAGTCGATCCAACTACAGTTACGATCGTCCTTATAATAATAAGAGCAAATATTTGGGCTTGGATGAGGAGATCCAGAACAAATACCTCTTTAAGTCGCTAGATGAGAGGCGTTCGAAGGTCAACCCATTTTTGAAGACAGGTCACAACTTGATACCCTCACTATCCGATCAGTCGTTGAACAGCCCGACCGATGATGGCCAATATAATTATTCAAACGTTATTTACAGAAAAAATTTTCAAAGCCAGCCTTTTGAATTTAACAAATCGAAATCGGTAGGAGAGTTCCAGGCCAAAACGGAACCAGATATTTACCAGACGTCGTCCATCAATCAGCCTTATTATAACCATGAAAGTGAAAATTTTCATTCTAAAAGTTTTCCAAACACGTCTATTCAAAATTCTCTATATCGCGCATCACCCGCTTGTCAAAGTTATCTGAATCTAAGCGAACAAGACCAAATGTTGCATCAACCGTATCAACAGAATGCCCCTTCGTCAGTAAATCGGTATGTTAATAATAATTATTACCAGCCACATCAGCTGAGCCAATACAATTCCGAGCCACAACAACTACCAATAAATTATTGGCTGCAGGAGCACCAATACAATCAGCAGCAGCAGCAACAACAACAACTACAAGCACAGAATCAACAGTATCAGCAACTTCACGATCAGCCGTACCCACAACTGCGCAATCACCAGTTTCAGCAGCAACACTTGCCGCAGCCCATGCAATCCCACAGCGAGTTCCTGGCTTCGGTTGAACTTATCACAAAAAAAGGAAATAATTGCACTGTTAATCAGTATGAAAATTTTCAAAAACCTTTTACGATAGTTGCACCTCATAAGGAGCCCTTACTTTCAAACAACGTTCATTTTAAGCCGCAGAACAGCAGCTTGCCTAAAGTCGTAGACAGCTTAATGCACAGCAAACAAGCTACCAACGACGTTATGAACAGTAACGAGGTTTTTTCATATTTAAACCACAGCGCAGCCAACAAGACGAGGAGAAACCAGAGTACCATCTCTAGCTATGAAAACAACGTGCGGAAAAACAAAAATATACACGTGGTCAAAAGTACACAAGTTCCTGGCAACAAATTTGAAAGATTCACTCCGTTAACTCGCAAATTTGTGCAAAATAAGATGCTGAAAGATTGTTTTGGCAACAATGACACCGTTACATCTTTTACCATCTACAAACAAAAATACAATTATCAATTCCCTCAAGAGCAGGCTTGGTATGAAAGCAAATGAAAAATTTTTGTTTCAATTTGACTAAATATTTTTTAGTTAAACACTTATTTTTCATTACATATGCAGCAACAACTTTTTTAAAATTAAACAAGAACTTTCAAAGATTAAAAGAATCAAGCAGTTTGTTTTTTTTTTGCTCTAACAATTAAATGAAAAAGACCGGCTACAGAGCGGATCTTTATTTCTATAGTTTGAATGCCTTAATTTCAGTAATTTTTATGGTGAGGAAGTTGAATGTTCTGAAAGGATAACCTGAGCAAAGAAATCTTTTAAAGTACAAAAACAAACCAAAAGTTTTAATTTTATGAAAGGATGAAAGCGTGATTTCTAAACAACTCAGTCAATCTGTTGAGTGCTTTCAAATATTCGATACCAATGTGGATGGTTGGGTTGGTAGGATTCATCATAAAAGTAAACGAAATAGAAAACTTATATCTCAAAGTTATTACGTTGGACCATAATAAGATTTTTTACTTAAAACTTGAAATGTTTAAAAACTAGCTTTCCGTTAAAGCAAAGTCGAACACAGCGTATATAAGTTCAGGCAAAAATTCTAAAAAAAGTGACAATAATCATAAAATAAACTGCATGTTTTTTTAGGATATTATTTTTGTAGCTTACAAACGATATAATGAGAAAGTTGTGGTTGGTTTTATAACTTGGATATTGTGATCTGCACGGAACAGTTTGTGAGGAACAAGGTTAAAATAGAGTAGGACTCCAATCAATCCATCGGAACTTACAAACTAATTTTTGCCGACACCAAAAACAAGAACAACTGAGTGTACAGTACACATTGCAGGGAAATTAATTTTTCGGAAAATATCTTAGCATATCATTTGGCTCGCCATGATTGCCATAAACGCTTACACAAGGATTAAAAAATATTGACCAAATAATTGCGGAAAAGTTTTGAAAATTGTATGGTCTAACATGAATATAAGTTTAAGCAGACAACATAAACATTTATTTACCGATGATTAGTTTCCCGATCGTCATCTTACCAACCAATATCAGTAATACGTACAAATATCTATTTCACTAGACACAAGTTGTATAAATTTTATTCATACGAAAGGAACATGTATGTGTTTTATGAAATGAAATAAAGTTTCATGTATGAGCAGCATGTACATTTAAATGAAAAATCTTCCATGGGCTGAAAATCGATTTTAACAATGAAAGTTCTGTGTTATATTATAATTACATATAAGTACATACATTACATGAAGATAAACCAAGGTTCACGCAAATTAAAATGCATTGAAGTCTTTTTTTAGACTGATACAATTTAAAGTAAAAAAAGTTTTGGAAAATCGTTTAAAAAATTTTACAAAAAATTTTGAAGAAGAATTGCGTACAAGCACTCTTCAATAAATAAACAAACAATGATGACGATGGTGAAGATGATGATGTTGATGAGGAGGATGGTGATGGTGAGGATGAAGATGATGACGACGATGATTGTGTTGATGAGGAAGATGATGATGGGGTGAGACAAATAAAAACATGTTGAATGTATCAACATAATTTGTCAGTTGTCAGTTAAAATTCATTTTAAATAAAAAAATAATAAAAAATAAAAGTGAATAAATAACTAAAGGAATAAAGAATTAAATGAATGAATAAACAATATACAAAGCGATGGATTGTTACAACAAGACAAACTAGTTTAGCATAATGTTTGCTGCTTGTAAAGTTATCTCAAGTGTTGTGTGAGTGTTGGTTTGTGCGTTTGTATATGTGCCTGCCTGTGTGTTTGTTTGTGTGTTTGGATATATGAGTACCTGTTTGTATGCGTGCATTTGTGTTTGTATATTTGTCTGTTTATGATCATTTCTATCATTAATTTTAGAATAAATATATATCATATATTTATCAATTTTAGTGTTTTTATTTGAAGAACGTTCAATTAACAGTAGTCAATTATGCAAATTGTATTATAACTCGTGTGTCAAGCAACTTTCAGTTCAACCTACTTTAGTAGAACTTCAAAGAAAAACTTACAATCGTTTGGATTCGTACATTTTTTGAACATGTTCTGTGAAAATGCATAACTGACAAACATACAAACATACATATATACATACATACATCAGGAACAAACGAACCATTCAAAAGAAGAACATTACTCGCTGATGCATCTCGTCAAACTCGTACGAAATTCAATTATTCAATTGACGCCAACATTGAATGACAGTAAAACTTTAAAAAAATATTTTTAATGTTTAGTAGATGATAATAATGAAAATATTAATAAGCAATAAGTTAGATTTTAGGTAGGCTTACAGAACATGAAATCACATAATTAAAAGCCAACACCAAGAAGTTGCTTAAGAGAGGTTTAAGGTGTGGAGAAGAAAATTTCAGCATTGTCATAGAAGCCAATGTTAAACGAAAGAAGAAATGAAAGAGTGAGTGAGTGAGTAAATAAGTGAATAAATAAGTGAATGAATAAATAAATTAATGAAACAAAAAAAAACGAAAAGATCCGACAGACAAATGAATAGCGAATGAATTAAAATATTACGAAACATTGACGAAATTGTGAAATGGCAAATTAATTTATAAACAAATTATAATATAGAAACTTATAAATTTCCCAATTGATAAATTATGAAATGAAAAATTCGGAAAAAGTTCTCAAGCTCCTTAATATGAGTTTCATCTCCGTTTGAGTGATCGTTTGGATGGGTGGAGGAAAATGAAATACACGCGGTTGGCTGGCTGGCCGACTGGTTGTTTCAAATAAATGAACAGTTTATATTTATTGAAACATCTCATTCGTACAGGCACGCACATCGAAATATTTTTAACATCTTATATTGGACTCTACTAAAAAACAAAAATTATGCCCATATTTCCAAGTATTGCCCTCTATCACAACAGAACTTCTTTTCATCGTTTATTATATGAAAAATAAATGTTAAATCTCACACAGTTACATATATACATATGTTGTTCATTTACTTTTATATTCGCTAACATATATAGCGGTAAAATAAAACATTGGCAAAAAGTTGAATGAATAAATTAATAAATAAATAACTGTATAATATCAAGAAATATCAGTTAATCATTTGGTCTTTGTGTGTGTAGGTAGAAATATATTGTGAAGGGGACCAAGGTGAGTCACTGTCGACCAAATATTTAACTTGATAGACGTATTTACAATTAGCTTCAAGATCTTCTAACACCACCATGTTGTCCTTCAGATTTCTGTTCACCCACGGTTGCTGGTTGCCGTGATGCGAATGTTGGTAGTTCTGCTCTTGTTTCTTGTAGCGGATCTTGTAACTCTTCGGCCGCTCAACCGTCTGACAGTTGTTTCCACCTTCGTTGTTGTGGACAGATGTCGCCGGTTGATTGGCAGGCCACGTTATGAAGGCGTTGACCTTCACCTGTAAAATGACCTTGAAATCTATTTGCACGTTACTCGGACGCGCTTTGTAAGTATCATCTGAATCGTCGGGGTAGGCTAGAGTCTGTTTTCTTTTTCGTTTAGCAATGATTTCAGGCGATTGATGTTGTGAGTGTGTCGCGTCTTGCTGGCGGTCAAACTCGCTCTCGTAATCGTCATCGTACTCTTCGTCGAAAGCATCTCGATCACTCTCCTCAATGTCTTCTTGGTTATCTTCGTCGATGTCTTCATCAACTTTTTTTTCTTCGTTTGAAGGAGGATTAGGGGCATCTGAATGCGTTCGGGGAAAATAGTCGGTAAATTTTAACACAATTAAAATAATTAAAAAATTTGAACCGTTATTACTTTCAACTTTTTATATTAATTATTATTTCATAAAAAAATCCTGTTATCAGGATAATGACAAGAAATAAGAACAAGAACAAATACCGATAGTTTTCTTGGCTTGAAATTTGATGATGTCTGATTTAGGTCCATAACCGAAAGCATTTTTGGCTTGAACCTGGAAAAAGTAACTGTTTCCGAGAACCAGGTTTTCAATGAGGACTTCAGTTTGTTGGCGAACTGATACGATCTGACAGTCTCCGTGAATGGCGTCTAACTTGTCTGTGTATCTAATCTCGTAATCTGCGTGCGATTCATGTTGACGTGTGATCCACCGGAAAGAAATTTCATATTTCAAAACAATTATTTTAAATTGATCGTATAACAATTGCATACATTCCATAATTTCCAATAAAGTACGGCAAATTAAAAAAATAGTTTTCCCTTTTAAAACAATTATTATGTTTGCGCTTGTTTTTGAATTTTCATACTTAAAATAAGTTATCGTTAAACACATTGAAACATCAATCACGTATGGGAAATGTGATGGATGTTTGTACCAGTCACGTTGGCATTGACACGTTTTGGAGGTTTCCATCTGACGACGGCGGTCACCAGTTTGTTCTGTTCATCAACGTTCAACTCATGAACTGTCACATTTCTTGGCTGAGAACCTGGAGCTATATACAAAAAAATTTATTTCATCAACGAGTGCATCGAATATTGGGGCTAAAATTTCAGCCGTAAGTTTTAATCGAAAAAAATTAAAAATTCGTTATTCATCTCATAAAACGGTTTAAGCCAAAGTTTACACTTTAGCAACGGAATTTTAATTTTATTTAAGCTTCGTGTATAACTTAAAAAATGATTACGAATGATTTAGGTCCATAACCGAAAGCATTTAAATTTATTAGGATACACGAACCTGTTTCCAACGTTCTTTCAGATACGACTGCTGAGAAATTACTTCTGTGACCCTCGTTGTCAGTCTTCACCTTGAAATCGTACTTTGTCGCTGGTATCAAATTGCTTATAACAACCTAAAAACGACATTTTTTTATTAAGATTAAAATATTTATAGTTTTATAATTTTAAAATAAGTGAGACGTTTTCACCTATTCAAATGTGTAAGTACTGCTCACAAATGATAAATTGCTCAAAATTGATAGCAATTGATTTTTTGTTGCAAATAATAAAATGAAATAAAAAAAAACCTGCAATTTCCTAAAAGTTTCAGTTTTCTCTAAAGTTTTTCCAGTGAGGGGGTTGATGTAGGAGTACTCGACGACGTAGTACCTGGCGTCGTCTGGTACTTGGGAAGTGGGAGGAAACAGGGAAGGGTCAGTCCACTCCAGCATTATAGTTGTCGGTGATATCACTTTTGCTCGGAGGTTTGTCGGGATGGGAGGCGTGTCGTAACCTTTGCAGTGTTGGTGGATGATGTTTAATAATTATGAACAAAAAAAAAGATAGAAGATGACGAATGATGCTAAATGGCACAAAAGGATGGTGAGATGTATTGAAAGAGATACTTTGATATTTTTTAATAACGCAATAGTGAATGGATCTGAATGATAATAATGAAAATGTTTGAAAATTTGTGGAATCTAAATAAATATACGGTAGTTATTTGTTAAGGGATGTGACTATAAAGACGTTCATGTTTGGCACTTTGCGCAAAAACTTTGAGATAAACTTGAGTATTGTTTACTGTGGATTTGCATGCATTCAAATGCATCTCAGGACAATCATTTGTTCAGCAATGAGGCAGAGTAAATACAAAAAATGAGTAACGTCGGTTGACCCCGAATGCCTGTTTACCTTTATTGAATATATTGAATAATTTTAACTGAACGGGAATTATTTAAAAAAATTTTGAAAAATTTTGATTAACTTTAAAAAAAATGTTCTAAGTATCTATAATGATGTTGTATGTGAATGATGCTGATGGAAGATGAGGATTCTTATTTCTCGGTGGATTTTGAATGATAATGGATGTTTTGAATGATGTTGGATGATGATAAAAATATGATGATAACAAATGACAGTGAATGGCAGTAAATGGAGATGAATGGTGATTAATGTTACTAGAATAACATTGGATGATAGTGAGCGTTGGTAAAACCTATTGACTAATGTTGGATGGCGATGGAAATATTAAATAATTCGGTCTGAGTTTGAAACAGCATCAATCAAGTATGTTAAAATACTTTTGACGATAACGAATGAAAACGGATGGTGATGAATCATGCTGAATGGTAGTGAACGTCAATTTTGAAATGTCAAAACAAAAATGTTCACTCTCAAGGTCTGTTTCGTTTAAACGTAAAAATTGAATACGTTTCTTTTGAACAAACCATATTTTTATAGATTGAATAATTTCATTTAAAACAACCAAAATACTGTACAAGAGTACAATTTTTAAAATAAATATCTATTTAAATAAATAATTAATTAATTCAAAAAATTTTTGAATCGAAATAAATATATGGCAGTTATTTGTTACGGGATGTGACTATCAAGACGTTAATGTTTGGCACTTTGCGTTGAAGCATTAAGATAAACTTGAGTATTGTTTACTGTGGATTTGCATGCTTTCAAATGCTTCGCAGAACAATCATTTGTTCAGCAATGAAGCAGAGTAAATAACAAATTGAGTAACGCTGGTTGACCCTGAATGCCTGCTTGCCTATGTAAATGCTTTTAATTAATTTATTTTCTGTAAATTGCGTTTACCACATTTCAATCTTGTATTTAATTTTGGAAACTCTATAATCGGCAAGTCCAATTCAAATCATTATTTTCAGAAGGTAATTTTATTATAGTTAAATGAATAATTTTTCAAAACAATAAGTTAATTAATTTGTAGTCAGCAGCACAACGAAGTAGATGCATTTACATACACACATGTACTATGTTTATTTACTTGCTAGCTCACAACAAATAATTTTCTTCCACCTAACAAGTTTAAGACATTTTTGTATATGTATCAATGTGTGGGCATGTATGCATGATGCAAAAATACTGCTGACTAAATAAGTAATATATATATATATATATATATACATACATATATATATATATATATATATATATATACCAAAATTTTAGCTACCGTTTGAAATATTGAAAAGCTCAATCGTAAACTTTCAAAAGCTAAAAAAATTTGGTAGATTTTATCAAATGTTGCATCAATTATGGTGTCTTTCCAGCCTATATATATATATATATATATATATATATATATATATGTTTTTATATACGTAACTAAATAAATATATATGTATATATAATTATATACAATTATATATACATATATATACACCACATATACCCTTACATGTCAATGTTAATTAGTGAATGCGATTGCAACAGTGTGTGACTTTGAGTGTACGACACAAAGACATTGGAATGCTTGTTATGCGTGTAGTCAGTTCATCTCTCACAATGCAACCTGACATTAAGAACTCATACACACACTGACACATTCATTCAAGTATGTGTGTATGTGTGCGTGTATGTGTGAGTGGTGTGTGTTTGTGAATACGCTGTTTGTGTGAATGCATTTGCAGATGTGTTTTTATGTGTCTGTGGGTGAATTATTGTCTGTATGTCAAGTGAAGTCAATTTGTTTTGAGGTTATGCTTTTTTTCACATGCTTAAGATTTATTTGTAGCAAATTTTACACGAATTATTTATACATGAGTGAATTAGGATGAAGTTGAAAAATGTGGCAGAAGACCTTTCTCTTTGACAGTGTTGATGAGTTCCATGGCTGGTGGACCGCGTACGTTGTCGTTGTGGAAGGCTCTCAACGTTATCAGATACTGGGTGTTCTTCTCTGCAGGTTCGTTTTGTTTGCATTTTAATTCTTCATTTAACTTACACGGGTTTGTGTTTTTGGAATGAAAGCAAGGCATTTTGAAGAAACATAATTATATTATAAATGTAGAGACTCAACAAGTGGACACCAACTTAGATTTCTGATGGTGATGTTTCGTTGTGTGACGTCGAGGTACTGCCAGTTCACATCAGGTACCCCCTCGCCATAGCCCACTATGTAACCGCGGATTGCAATGGAACTGTTGGGAGGTTCCCACGCCAAATATATCGAATCGGCATTCCCTTTAAAGTTGACGATCGCTGGCTTTCCGATATCTGCAAGCAAATGTTTGAGAAGCAATGTGAATGAAATGTTACTTAAACGTGCTTTTTGTTTGTTTTATTTTTAACTAAAGTTTTTTATTTCACTCAATTACATTATTCAAATTCAAAATCTAAATTGATCAATTTTTAGATTTGTTTAAATTAATTATTACAATACCACAATTATAAAAATAATTAACGTGATGACTATCAAATTGAAATCTGAAGATGCTTGAGCGTAGAAACCTGAAAGATGTGGATCAGGTATTGTAACGGTCAGCCTCTTGCTCGTCTTCACCTTCCCGTCACACTGGACACTGATGAGTCTGATGTGGTAGGTAGCGTTGGGCAGCATGTACTGGAGGGTGATCGTATTTCGAACGCCGCTGACCTCTCGTACCTGTGGCTTCTTTGCTCCCTCCTGCTTCACTCTGACTTTGTAGCCGATGATGGGACAGCCAGGTTTGTTGGTGTGCTGTGGCAGGTTTCTCAGGACAACAGTCTGTTTGGTAGGATGAGATTGGATTAGTTGAGATGATAATCGCAATGATGACGATTGGTGCATAGGAGTTTGAGGACGCCATGGCAATGAATGTTTTTTAGTCACCTTGTTCGTTCGTTTGTGTTACTGAATTAAAAAAATTTCACGCTGACTGCATGACAGCAGCTGCTTGGCGTGAGATTTTAATGGCCACCACTAACTGATATTATGTAACAGTGTCTTGGGATTTGATTTCTTAAAATAAACTTCTGCGGATTGTACGTAGAAGTTTATATTTAGTGTGTCTAATATAAACCTGGGTTTATATATATTCAATATAAAATATTGAATATAGTTTGAACAAACAATGTTAAGTAGGCAAGCATTTGTTGTTTTGTGTTGTCGCAATTTTAGATACATAAATTGTAATAAATTCTGATGTAGTATGCCCTGTATATAAAATATGAAATAAATTTTTCAGTGTCTTTATTATCGTTGTTTGCAATATATTAATTTTAATAAAACTTTAAATCTGATAAAATATGTTCACTCCGTGCAATCAAATGATGTCACGTCAATCAGATACGACGACGATTACGACTGAGACTAACAATTTAACGCATTTGCACGCAACAACCTCTTAATTAAATATTATAGCTTGTATATGTGCTATTCAGATGACAATTGCACAACTCCGATCAATCTCTATCTGGCGGCGAATAAATTCCACGCATTTTAAAAATTGTTACAAACACGTTAATGATAAATAAACGCATTTGTTTACGGCATGTGATATGCTGGTATCGTTCAATCGTAGGTAAGGTATAACATAACAATCGTATTGATAGTTTGAATATTATTATGGATGTGGATGTATGTTTTGTATGTTTGTCTGTGTGTGTATGCACGTATGCATGTATATTTGTTTGTATGTATGTTCGCAGGTTTGTATGTACTATTTTTACATGTTAGTATGTGTATAAACACCAAAAACAACATTCAACGAAAAAACTTATCAAAGTCCCAACTGCAATAAACAACAGTTAATACAACCGCCATAATTTGAGCCATACAAAAACAACGACAACAACAAAACACGCACACACAAGTAAAATATTTTTAAGAGACTTTTGAGGCTGTTGAAGTTTAACATTTACTGGCTAACATTAATTAAATAAGAAATTGGAAAAACAAACAAAAGCATCCACTGTAAACAACAACAACAAAAACCATCAAAAACAACAGGAGCAGCAACAACAACAACAAGAGTAACATCAACAACTGCAAAACTATCAACAACAATAAAGGCAAGAGAAACATACCGTCCCATTGATGTCTGGAATCAATGGCTTCATTGACTTCTGGTTCTTCGTTAGAAAAAGCGATCCGTCTGCGATGGAAAAAAATGTAAATATTATAACAATAACGTAAATGCTTTACAACGCAATTCTGAAATTCATCTAAGTAAATCTAACAACAATCATTCATGGAAAAAAATTTTCCCTAAACAATATCCTCTTTATATGGAAGTTAATTTGAAACACATTGACACAATTTTCAAAAACTATTGTTGGTAAAAGAAACTTTTTCGAGTCAAGGGATCGTCATTATTTTTCTGCACTTGTGAGCAAGTTTGTAAACAGCACGATGTAGTAAATATTGTTGCTGGGGCGATGAAAAAGAAGAGTGTGGTGTGGTGTTTAAGTTACTCCGACAATGATTAACAACAATGAATCAGTTGCACGATCACAATCTCAGCGCAAATGGAAAGATATTTTGCTTATGGGAATATTACTTTATAATTTCCATGCGTTTGTTAATTTTTAAATGTTTATTATACAAATTTAATGTTTAAAATGCCTATGTACTATGTGCGAATTGAGTGTGTTTGTGTCAAGTCAATAGAATGGATCCAACATATGTTCTGGTTAGGTAGGTCCTTTCTCGTGTTACATGGGCGTGTCTTTCTTCAGGGTTTAGTGTTTGTGTTTCATGATTTGTTGGTTGGTTGGCTGGTTGGTTGGCTGGTTGATTGGCTAGCTGGTTGGCTGGCTGGTTGGTTGGTTGGCTGGCTGGTTGGTTGGTTGGTTGGCAGTTTGTCGGTTGTTCCGTATCAATCAGGTTTGTTTTTAGAAAAGTTTTGTTTTTTGTATTCACTATCCAGTGGCAGAAACATTTTTACAAATGAATTTTGATTGATGAATTTTTTTCGTTTCAGGTTTCTAAAACAAGAAACAAATTGTAAAAAATTTTAAATTGCAAAATTTTAATAAATATATCTAAAGTTTAAAAAGTTGATCTTATTTTTTCCCAAAATGATATTGATTAGTTAGTTCGCAGTTAAATTTTTCACAACTTGTGTTTCTCTCACTCTAGATTTTAAAAAATTATTCTATTTTATGATCAGAAAAACGATTTTCAGTAACAGGCAAGCGCAGACTATAAAGGTGAGAGCACATGTAAGACGATGCATGCAATCAACGCCACGTTTTTAAATCGCACGCATCATTGAATATAAAAACAGGGTAAGTTTTTGTCTGGTCTCAAAATTAAATTTTGAAACCCATGATAGTATCACGATTCATTGGTATTCGTACAAGAACAATGTGCACATATTAAATATAATATCGCTCAGCATCATACCAACCAATTAGATATTCCTACGTATGATGGTCTCAAAATTGAACATTTTTTGATTTCTTTTTCCTGTCTGAATTCTTGAGTTCAAACCATTCTATAAACAGAACTTTTCGTATATTTTTATTACAAATTTCACCAAAACCCATTCATATCTTATTGTGGAGTACATTAATTTTTTGGAGGGAACTTCAAGTTGCGTTAGATGGGAGTTCAAACACTGTATCCTCCTCTAATCAATTCCCAGCTTAACCTTGCGTGTTCATGAATAAGAAAATAAATTAACTCATCAGTAGGACAAATGCAAGTGCTTCCGTCGGTCTGTGAGTCTGCTCTACCATTTAATATAAGGAGCATGTATGTGTGCATGTGTGTGCGTGTTGTGTGCGTGTTGTGTGCGTGTTCACTGCGCTAGCTTCTTTCTATGGGAAGAGGACGCTAATATGTCAAACCATTACAACAAACGTCAGAAAAATATTTCTTCTATGTTGGTCAATTTTTCAAGCCTATATCGAGCTCGACTTATAAGAGTGGGCTGGAAGGCTCTCATGTTTAAGCGCTGAGTAAAAATCTTTCAATTGTTCAGTATTTATTATTTTAGCTTTTGCTAGGATGGGTTGATGAGTTTATGATTGTATGTTTAATCTTTTTTTTCCTGTTTTCAGCTGAAAGGTTTGCTTGTTTATTTTCAATGTTGAGGCATTCATCATGTTTTCCTTTGACACAAATAATAATTTGTTTGTTGCAGGCATGCATGCATGCTGCGAGTGGATGGAACTGTTTGACACGAAAGAGTTGTTTGTTGTGGGGAGAGATTTTTAAATGGCTCGTGAATTAGATAGCTCAATTGCAATTCTAATTGTTAACGTTAGAAATACGGATATAAAAATTTTAGTCACAAAACGTTCAAAGTAAAAAAAAATTTTAATTTAAAAAAATCTTCAAAATAAAAATTATTTAAACGTTTCATTTTTTATCTTGTGATTATAATGTTTAAATTATTTGAAAAAAAAAATAAAACATTAATAAACAACATGAAATAATTAGAAAATTTTGCGAAAGTTATAGCAGAAAAATTTTCATACAAAGTAAATAATCATTTGCTTTAATTATTTTCTTCATTCATTTACTGCATTAAATGATTTTTAAAACAAAGGTGAATAAAGAATTTTAAACAAAGAAAATTAACCCATCTTGTTAAAGATCAAAGATCTGAAGAGAGCAACAATTAATTAATTAGTTATATCTGAGCGGAGATTCTACTAAAAATTTAAGACAGTTTATAAAAATATACAAAGGCTTCACCCTTTAATATTTACAAACACGCACGCACGCAAGCACACACGTTGTTATTTTGCGTCTGAATTTGTTATTCATAACAACAACAGCTGCAACCGAGTAAAACTCATTGAAACCAGGCATTTCATATTTTTATCACCCATTGAAAAAGCGAGCTGAATTTCAGAAGTCAATATATTAAGACGTGTTGAAGGGAGTTTTATTAAGAGGCGTTGAGAGGATTAGCATGAAAAAACGTGCAGACAGGCGGGAATATAATCATGTCCATACAATGAAGATAAGCTCTCGTATTAATCATGCATTTGTAACTAGGGGCCACTCTGCAAAAAATTATTTGAAAATTATCTAAACCAATATTAGTAAAGGACTTTTTTAACAAAAAGAGCATTTCGATTTTAAAATTTTGATAAAATTTTTAAAATAAAAATTTATTTTTACTTATGAATTAAGAAAGAAAGCTTCTAAAAATCAAAGAATTCAGCAAACGAAATGTTGGTATATAAGGTATCCATGCTTGCTGGATGAAAGGATGTTTGCAAGCTGGAGAGCGAGCATAGTGAGACAACATGTGTTGTTTGTTCAGGCGTTCTTTTGTTATGAGTTGGAATGATTTGAAGGCTGCGAAAAAAGGAGCAGCGGTTGCCAACGTAACATTGATTCAACCGCATCCACCTAACACACGCCGACTGCAATGTATTAATCATCCTTATCTTCATACTCGCAGTAGCTCTTTATATCAACCAATCATTTTATGATTTTGCATGCTGGTTTTATTTATGTCTTTGGTTTTTCAGAAAATATTGAATCAAATCTGCATTTTCATTCAAATTTAATTGTAGTGTGAATTTATGTAATGATGATCAAGATTTCTAGTTTATTTTATGCTATCTGCCAAAATTTTTTTATCAAATTATACAGCTACAGAATTTTAGGTTATAAATTACAATTTCACCTAAACAAACTAAAAACAATAATAAAATGTTTTGTTTAAGATTATAAACGAGTCTGCCTCCAAACAGCGCAAAAGATATTTACATATATTTCAAGTCTGACTTCGTCCTAGCCTAGTACGTTGAGCAGATCATTCTGTTAGGAGCGCTCTATTCTGATCGATTGACATGACATCAACAACAGAACATCAAATCAATCTCCATCAATTTAATGTTATCTCTCTTTTTCTTTCTCTCCATCTTTCTCTCTCTCTCTCCCTCTCTCTCTCTTTCTCTCTCTCCCTCTCTCTCTCTCTCTCTCTCTAACGCTAAACTGAATTGGAATAATTCATCATTTTCCATTTTGCTTTAGTATTTAAAACCATCAATCACATACTCACAAATATGTTTAAAAATACCAATCATACAAGACCACACAAACATATTTTAAAATACCAGCCAATCTTATACTCACAAACATTTAATATTTTTCAAACAATCATTCATTTACACTAAACTACATGGTTTCTTGACTTATTTCCAAAATTTGAAAAATATCAAAGAATTAATTGATGAACAAGATATGTGAAAATTTTTTTCATATTGTATTTTATTTAAAAATCATTTATGAAAAATTTATACAAAACGATTTGTTAAAACGCCTTTATTACTATTTGGATTGGGATACTGTTTTGGTAATAAATAAATAAATAATATAAGAAATGAGCAAACAAACAAACGAACGAATAAATAAATAAACAGCTTCATTCTATGTATATTACCTAATATAGCATTACTTTACATCAACTTAAATGACGTTGCCTAATAAATTAATGTCTTAAATTATATGAAGTGAATTAGAAAAGATAAAATTTTGTTACATTTTGTTTTTGTTGCAAACTGAACTTACAAAAAAAACTTCACTTATTTATCCATTGAAAAAAAACCCATCATACATACATTAGTTGAGTTTAGGATTGCGTGTGTGTTAATAACAAATTGACAGACCATGTAGGCTTGAGTTCGTCTGTGTGTGTGTGTGTGTGTGTGTGTGTGTGTGTATGCATAAAGATCAGTATGTGTGTAAATGTTTTTCTAGTGTACTGTGTAGTGCGTGTGTGTATATTTAAGAGTATTTTTGTATAGGTATTTATACGTGTGAATGTATTTGTACAGTTGTTGTTTATGTACGTGTTCATGTGTATTTTTATGTATACACGGTGCATATTGTATATACGTAAAAATGTCAGTGTATGTATACATGTGTATACAAAATTGCATGTACGTACGTATTTGAAAGCTTAGAAAGTTAGTGTTAATGGTTTTTGATGATGATTGCACTCATCAATGCATGAAAACATGTAAGTTCGCCTGTAACGTAATCAATCTTCGCAACTCCTTTTCTTCTTTCACCACAAAAAAAAGATTTCTCTTTGAAAACTGCTACACGTTATTTTTCATTCATAAAAAATTACTCCTATAATTTATATATAATTTATTTAGTGCTTGATTTATCACCGAAGAGAGTTATATTCTTAGATATGTATGTATATATGTATAGGTATATACGTGTGTCTGTGTGTGTGCGTGCGCGCGCGTGTGTTTTTATTTAACTGAAAATATAAGTGTTAACACGTGTTTCTGCAGGTCTAAAAATTGTGTGTGTGTTTGCAAGAAAGTTGAAAAAATATCAAAAATTTACACATAAATAGTTTAATGGAAACAGCCAACTAACCAACCAACTAACTAACCAACCGACGAACCAACCAGTCAACCTACTAACCAACTAATCAACCTACCAACCAACTAATCAATCAATCAATCAATCAATCAATCAATCAATCCATCCATCCATCCATCCATTCATTCATTCTTCTATCCAACCAACCATCCATCCATCTACCTGCATCTGCATACAATAAACATTTACATGCGGTTACATATAATTACATACACTTAAATTGAATTGTTGAACATAACGTGATAAGAACTAAGAATCGTTATTATTATTATTATTATTATTATTATTATTATTATTATTATTATTCTAAGAGACGATTGATTGAAGCTGCATGTTATAAACTTTGGGCCGTTCTTTCTTTATTCTTATTGTCCTGATAATTGTTATTGTTATTATTATTATTATTGTTGTTATTATTGCTGGTGTTGTTGTTGTTATTCATAGCTTTTGAATTAATTTAAATAATATGCATACATGGAATTAACGTGATGATGTCAACTGTAAATATTATGACGATGATGACGAAGATGTATGATGTTCATTTCGCCCAGTTCTGTTTGACGTTAATTTTTTAGTGTTATGTTCTCATGGAATTATTTTATGTCAAGTTTCAAATAGTGATGATCAGAAGTGGAAAATTGGGTCTGGAATAAAAGGATTTGGGAATGATTTTCACGGATTGATGGCAAAGTAACAGATCACAAATAAATAGGAATTTGTATAAATTTATCGACTAGATACATAAAACAGTATCCAGTGCATCGTTGCAACAAATTCTTTTAGTACATTTTTGCGTACTTATTCCAATGCGTATTTAATTGCGGTTCGCGAAAAGTTTCAAATTTTGGATAATGGCCCGGGCTATCAAGAGGAGCGTGTATACACATATATAGGTATACGTTTGTGTTTGAATTGTGTTTGTGTATGTGTGTGTGTGTGCGTGCAAGTGTGCGTCTGACTAGGGTGAAAGCATGCGGACGTGTGATTTTTGATTTTCCATTTTAGAATAACATTAAACAGTTAAATTTCCAAAGTACAAATGTTGATTTGATTTATGTTGCCTATAAAATACCCGCCTATTAATAATTCACATTTTATTAATGGCGAACGCTAATATTAATCTATAAAATTTTTAAAGTTATCAATAAAATACTCAACTATTCATTAATCATTTTAACAATTTTGAATCGGAATATAATATTTTTTTTCACATTTTCGTTTAAACCTCTCTGCTCTGATCAGTCAAAACCCATTAAATAAATTTTTTTAATGTGTGCTGTTTAATTTATATTTGAAATAATTATAAATGACATTTGGCTTCTATTGAACAAATTTTGGTATATGCAAACTGGTTTTATTGAAGAAAAATGTCCAATAGGTAGATAGAGCATGTAATACATCAATAAAAATGCTTCAAACATACTTCAAGAAATTATTTTTGCCAAAGCATTACACATTAATCTTTGGTTATATCTCTTTACCAATAATAAATTCTACATTAGTCGTTTTATATTTTTTTGAAAATTTTGAAATTTTGAAAAAGCTTTTTTATCAGTCCACAGTTTTAACTATAGTTAATTTTCGCTGTTGCTTTGTTTTGCGGTAACGATTTTATGGTTGTTATAACTTACTCCATTTTTACCGCCAACCTTTGTGAGAGGTTCCTTGGTTATCGGAGTCAACAAGTGGAAATAAAAATAAAGTTTCTATCATTCAATCATCAATTCATTATGCTTGCAATTGTCAAAAACTAACTCTACTACATTGCATCACTTGTTTTTATTGAAAGCGTTTCATGTTGTTTGTTGTTGTGGTGATGTGATGATGATGACAATGTGATGATGAAGTGATTAATTATATCGCGTTTAATTATAAACTGTTAAAAGATTATTAGATTATTCGTGGCGGTTTTTGTGCTCTGCTTGCCATCATCATCGTCATTGTTATCATTTCGTAATCAGCATCGTCATCTCCACCATCGTCTTCGTCGTCATCACCATAAAATAGTGAAAATAAAGATAGAATGATTGAATCAGATTTTTCCAACCAATGATTTCCGCCAGTGCGGTATTATTTTCAATCCAAATAACATTTTTGTTGACTGCAAACATCCAGCATATCGATCTTTCAATTGTCATATTTATAATCATCATTATCATCGTCGTCATCATCATTATCATCGTCGTCATCATCATTATCATCGTCGTCATCATCATTATCATCGTCAACAAAGCATCGTCGTCGTTGTCGAGTTAGGAATTCATGTATTTTTACAAAAGTGATTTAATGAAAGCTCACGTTCGTAATAAATAACGAACCTATCTAAGCTAAGCTATGCTATTATTATTATTATTATTATTGTTTTTATTATTTTTATTATTAACGTTGTGGTTGCTGTTGTTGTTATTGTTAGTGCCTTGTAACACTATACTTATACAAGTAACAAACTATATAAATCACATTTACGACTTCGCTTCAAACCTCGATGCTAACTTCGCTATCCATCTTGCTTATATACAAGATTCTTAAAATCCAAAGATTATAAATGTAGAAAAGATAACGAAGATAGCAAATAATTAAGATAATAATTAATCAATGATATAGCGCAATTCCACCAATCCGGCGGATATAACAATATTGTTATAATTATTGTTATTATTATTATTGAAGTTATTGTTGTTGTTGCTGTTATTACTTTTTTCTTATTTTTCTTAGCTGAAGAATGGCTAACTTAAGCTTAGGAACTGCGTTGTTGTCATGTTAAAATTTGATTAAACTGTTGTTAGTTTTTAGTAATTATGATAATGATAAGAAAGCTTGGAGTAAAAAATTACTGTTATTATTACTACTGCTGCTGCTGCTACTACTGCAGCTACTACTACTACAACAGCTAATACTATCAACAAAAACAACAACGACAACAATAATAATAATAATAATAATGACACAGGTTTCACGACAAATCAAACAACTCATCCAAGAAATTTTATAACATATCCAAAAAATTTAACAACAGTCAGTCATAGAAACTCTGATTTCAGTGGTTAACAAAGATTGTAAAATATTTTGAAAATGTTTGTTGTAAAATATTTTGGATATGTTGCAACATTTCTCGTAAAACCTTTTATAACAATAATAATAACAATAATAATAACAACAATAAATCTGTAGTAACAATAATAACAACAACAATGAGATGAGATAATAACATGAACGTTAACATTGACGACGATGTTAACGCAGATAAAAAAAATTGATGTTGTTGATGACGCAACGGCAAAATCAATAAAGACGAAGGTTTTGTTTCCATATGCGCTATAAAAATTCCTCATCTAATCAATTTTCATTGGTATCGCAATTCACTTTTGGTATTGATGTCCCGACTATGAATTGGTGGGGAGGAGGGAGAAGAAGAAGAAGAATAAGAAGAAGATAACGGTGGTGAAAAATTGATGATGATAGATATTTCTTGTAAATTATGAAGATGATAAGAGAGCGAGATGATGACGACAATGCAAATGATTTTATCATTGTAAAAGTGACGCTGACGCCGATGATAACGACAACAATGGTTAATATTCATCATTATAAACTGGCATCTTAACTACAAACGCATGCAAGTTCAAAATTTACATATGCATACAACACACACACACACACACACATGTATGTTTAAAAATTGCACATGTATGCATACATGAAAACATTCAGTACATAGACAAACATACTACATACATACATATACACATATATACATACATTGCATACATACATTCATGCATACATACATACATACATATTTATTCATACATATATATATACATACATACATACATGCATACATACATACATACATACATACATACATACATACATACATACATACATGCTAACAAACAAACATACATACATACATCATGCATTCATACGAACATGCGGGTTGATTTGATTGTTAGATGTTTGAAAATGGAAATCATTGTTGCCAGATACGTACGTTATAAAGTGGTTGGCCAGTCGGACTGTTGCTGGCTGTTATAAGTTTAACGTTATTAACATCATTGATGTTATTGTGATTTTAATGATTGTTGTTAATGTTAACATTTTTGTTGTTTTTGTTGTTGATGAATGTTGTTATTTCTTTTGTTGCAAAGAACTATGACTGCTGTTTCATCTTATGCAGGTATCAATATATATCTTATTTTCGATTCCATTTGCATGAGTTAATGCGATTATTGTTAATGTGATATTGAGTTAATGTGATGATGTGATGTGATAGAAAGTTAATGTGATGCTGATATTAATGTAATGCGGATCTGATGTTTGTTTGAGTGCCAATATTTGACTGTGTTTATTGCCATTTCATTGTTCTTTAATGTCTATTTCTTTAATACCATTCAATAAAAATGTTCTGTTGTTGCAAATGGCAAAAAAAAAACGATGCAGTTTAAAAGAAACATTTCGAGAAAAAGAAAAAGAAACAAAAACATAAAACCATTAGATATACACACACGCCAAAACAAATCTTCAACAAAAACACGCATACATACATACACATACACATACATAAACACAGAGACATACACACACATACGCACACAGACATATACAGACATACATTAACACACACACATATAAAAATAACTTTTGGCAATTGTAGAAACCGTTTGGAATATAACAAAAACTGAGATTTGTTAGCAACCAGAATATTTCATTTAAAAAAATTCGAGTAAATTATATGGAAGTTCAAAATGGCAAACTTTTTATTTAGCAAACATATTTTTTCAGTGCAACTTTTGACACACTTGACTTGATTGATAGAACGAAAAAAGTACATACATTGTGCAAATAGCACCTGAGCAAAATAAATAAAAACCCAAATATGTGCTAAAAATTTCGTTTATTACACATTTTTTTATTCAATTTGAAAATGTTTCAGAATCTGAATGTTTGATTAAATAGTATTTGTTACTCTTGTTATTATCAGTATCGTTTTAAACTGTTTAAAAAAATTGTATATTGATTTTTTTGGTAAATTAATTGAATGTTTGTTAAATATCATTATTTCATCAATAAAACTTCTGAGATGAAGTTTAGTATAAATTTGTATCGCGATTTGGCGGCAATATTTAATTTCTGAAGCCAATAAATACCTCACCATTACACGCAGCGCCACACCATAACACGCAATACAACGCGACAACAACATACAATTCGGTCCATCTTTTCATTCCGTGTGCTGTGCTGGGTGAGGTCAGGTTACTTGGGCATTTGGTCCATTTTTTCATTCCTCCAACTAGGTAAGGTAAGATAACATGGGCGTTCGGTCGATCGTTTGGTTAAAATTTTGTTTCCGGTTTTGACCTTTGTAAAGGAGGTCGAATAGTCGAACAGTGCACCTTCCGTTCACAACATCACATTTTTGGATTCCAGAATACTAATTGTTAATTTGTATTAGTGGAAAGCTTATTTTAGCAATCATGGCTTTTAAAACATCTGAATGCGAGCAGGAGATTGAACATCGGATTGACATGAATCGCCTATTGTTTTTTTTTCAATATTTTGTTTTTTCTTCTAAAAAAATAATTTTTTTAAAGTTTTTAATTTTTACAGTCTTTGGCTTCGACTGAATAGTGGATCGACTATTCGGTTTTCGGTAAATTCGCTGCATCTCTTTTGTGTATGTTCATGGATGTAAAAACTGTGGGTAGATGGATTATGGATGTATTCATCTATTATATTATTAATATATATTTAACGTAAATATTTTTCAAAGCTTACATTTTTTAGTATGATTTTATAGGTCTGTGTGTGTGTGTGTTTACATGCACATGTATGTGTGCACGTGTGTATGTGTATAAGTTTGTGTTTTACATTTACATTACAATGAAAGTAATAAGTAGAACATAAAGAATGGTTGAATGCTGGAGACATAAACACGATTTGCACGCATTTGAACGAATGTTTCTGTCTGTTTGTTATGCAAAGTGCCTTAAATCAATTGTCAACGCTGCTAGTATAACTCACGTTCGTCGTCCTCGTCGGTGTTTAATGTTGATGTAAAAATCATTTATAAACATTCGAAACAACAATAATTTCATGTTGATAACAATTGCTTTGACATCAACAACAATAATATAAAATAAACATTGTTAAAGCTGATTTTTACGTAAAAATACGTTGCGGCTCAGAAAACATTTAATAATATTTTCCAACCTCTGGATAGTCTGGCCGTCTGAACGTTGGGGAGGTTGATGACGAGATTTATGACGGTGCAGAGCATGAGGGTGGTGATGGTGACGATGAATAGGCGAGTGCACTGAGGTATCAACATTTTTATAGTTGATGTTGGTGGGCTGCAGTTGCCGCGGTCGAAATGGCTTGGTTTGTTGCGGTTGAACTTGTGGTGAAGTAGATTGTTGAGTTGTCGTTTGGTGAGAAGTTGGTTGTAGGTTTGTATTACTTTTGCGAAGTAATCCAAAGAGGAGTTTTGAGGATGTGTTTAATCGTCCGCGAGATTGTTTATAACAAGTACGTGATGTGATGTAAGGTAATTTATATTTTAAATTATCCGATGAATAAAATTAAACATGTGCTCCTAACAAGATAGTATAAACGAACTAATAGTATGCTTAACTGAACTATCGATCTTAGATTTTTGCCAATTAATAAATTATTTGATTTAAAATAATAATGATGGATGGATGGAGAGGTAGATGGGTAAACCGATAGATGAATAGATACATATAGATTGATAGATGAACGGATGGATACCAATCTATATATAGATATATATAGATTGATAGATGAACGGATGGATGAAAAACGAATGAACAGATGGAGCACCGAATGACAGAAGTAAAATGATATCAACAGTTGTTCAACTCCTTCTTCGTCGTCGTCGTTGTTGTTGTTGTTATTTTTATTGTTGTTATTGCTGTTGAAACATTTTACAAAATATATAAACTTTGTGTTGCCCGTGTCGATGGTTCTGTCGTAGTTGTTATCAAGTACTTTGTCGTTTATTGACTGGAGTTGTTGTTGTTGATGTTTTGAGTGATAATTTGATGATTTAGAATAGATGAACTGTAATGTTTAGTTGTATCCAAAAAGTATTTTGATCGAAATGAATACGTTAACATTCAACTATTTAGAGATAGTATCCTTATTGTATCCTAATGACGCATCAATATAATGTATCAAAATATCATAGAGGATGTTTAACATGCATCCATCCAGTTTCATATAAAGACGACATTTATGATGAAGAACACAGCATTATGTTCAGAATTTATTTTCATCATTCAAACACAGATCAAATGTATGGGTATTTTATATACACATACAAATGTGTACCCTATATATACATATATACGTGTACCCTATATGTACATACGTATATGCATCTTATATAAGCATACACGTGTATGTATATAACTCAATACAATTATGTTATGTGGTATGTGTGTTGTTTTCAAAACAATCCATCAACATATGAGTGGTATGTTTATGTGTGTAGGTTGTGTGTGTGTGTGTGTTTGTTTGTTATGTTGTGTGTATGTAAACTTGTTTGTATTCTTTAATATGTACAATGAAAATATCAGTTTTCTAACTCCAGTAGGAAGATTTCAACCGATGGTTAATCTTTCTATCTGTCAAGTGTTATTAATGGAAAAACCTTTATATTATTTGAATATTTTCATTAATTTTTGACAATTTTTAACTATTTCTAATTTTCAAAATCAATTTTTTTAATACGAATTATCTGAATAGCAAATAAATAGAGAGAATGACGGATAAACCAAAAAATTAATTGAAAGATTCGATATATTTAGCTACAAATGCGTAAAAAAAGTTTTTAAATGCCCACAAACTCAACCTACCACAATCAAACGGAATGTTTTATTGTTATTTTTTTATTTTATCGAATTTTGGCTTGTAAAAAGAATTTTTCTGATAGGTAGATAGAAATTTCTAACGAGATTATAAATGCATTTGCAACTTTAGAGCACGCTCATGTTACTGAAGCCAAAAAAATATTGATGATTTCACATTAGATGCATTTTATTTGCTTTAAAATAAAAAATAACATTAAATCGAATTTTTACCATAAATAATAATTGGTAAAATGTACAATTGTACATACAACGATTCATAGATACACACACACACACACACACACGCGCGCGCGCGAAGCAGGCTAGCCGTGCGTGATGATGTTAATTAAAATTTTTATGAATTATCACAACAATGAAGATGTTAAACGCGATAACCACGAACGATCTAGCCGGCGATTGCGATGACGAAATGATGGCAGAAATGACAAACATGATCAGAAATAATAACAACTGCTGCCACTACAACTATTACTACATTTACTACTACCACTAGTGCCACTACCAGTATTAATGCTACTACTACTACCGCTAATTAAGCCGCTGCTACTACTACTATTGTTACTACTACTGCTACTACAACAACAACAGCAACTGCAACTAATACTGCTAATACTACTATTACTACAGCTGCCTACTACTGCTAATACTGTTGCTAGAATCTACTGCTGCTAAAAAATAATCTTAATAGGATAATATGATGCATATTTATTAAGGAGAATGAAGGAGTGACGTGAAAGAATGAAGTAATCAGCTTAATGAGATCAGACAGGATTAATTCATTAAGATGGTTGTCTACAGGAGATTTAACTACAACAACACTTACATCAACAGCAGCCACAACAACAACAACAACAACAACAACAACAGAATAGTAACAACATGCATTACAAGCAAAGCAGTAACATCACCAAAAACAATGAATGAACAAATACCATCAGCAAAATCAAAAAGACATTAAAATTGACAAAAATAGCAACAAAAGAACAACAAAATCGTCACATTAATGACTACAACTAAAGCGACAACAAAAATTGTCGTAAAAATGATAATTCTTCTAAATTATTATCAGCCAAAAAATAAATGTTTAAAAAAGTTTGTGAATGCACTGGCTTGATAAAGATTTTCAATTTTTGAGTTATTAAACTTGAAAAATTTATTTTTTTTAATTAATTACGGCGAGTAAAACAGAATTATAGATTTCTCGTTGTAGACAGGATTGAAGCTGAAATGAATAAAAAATACTTTGGTGATAGCATCTGTTTACTTTACACAAACCGCAAAGCTATCTATCAATTAATCAACCCATCTCTTTGAAATTTAATTAAAAGTTTATTTATTATTTAGCATAAATATTCGACATAAAAATGTTTGAATACTGTATTCGATACATTCGTTCGTTGTAATTTGTAGGAAATAAGCGCTATATATATATATACAACCTTTTTACTTTAAAAATAAAGTGCTATATAAATGGTTTTCATTATTTCAAAACTAAAAAAAACAGTCTCACCATTTAATTATTGAAAACTGAAACAGATATCCAAAAAACGAAAGAACAATTACGTGAGTTAAAATACCCACCAACGTTAACGAATTTAATTAATTTTTACATTAAATAATATTATCATTTGTTTTGAGAAAACATTTAAAATTCATATGTATTATCATTAATTTAAATAGATATATAAACTTATTTATATAGTTTAATAAATGTATAATCTGAAGATTATTTCATGTATGTGTGCTTAACTTTCATACACACTAAATATTCTTCCAAGTTTTATCAATGCTCATTAAATTCACAAATTCAAAACCAAACTCCAACTCTGCTAACGAACACAGCACTTAATCCTTTCCTAAACATTGTCAGATCAGAATGCATGGCATATATAAACGCGAAAACAAAGTCTGTTTATCGTTATGTTAGTGTATATGTATAGTATTAGAATATATATGGGTACGAACACTATTGTATATTATATATAGAAATTGTGGTGTATATATATATATATATAAATGAGTCTCTATATATAATTATTGGTAAAACCCTACATAAATGAATAGAAAGCTTACCAAAATTCCTTATTTTGCAGTAAAATTGAAATGGAAACACCTGACTCGATCAAGATCTTGTTTTTGTCAATGATGACGAAAAAATTATTGAACTAAGCATTGAACTTTTAGAATTTTATTAATTATACTTCATATGTGTATTGTTTATGTGCATATGTGTTTAAATTTTTGGCGTGTCGGTGTTGTACCTGTGTGTGTGTGTGTGTGTGTGTGTGTGGTGTGTGTGTATGTATGTATGTATGTATGTATGTATGTATGTATGTATGTATGTATGTATGTATGTATGTATGTATGTATGTATGTCTGTCTGTCTGTCTGTCTGTCTGTCTGTATGTATGTATGTATGTATGTATGTATGTATGTATGTATGTATGACTGTAGTGTATAATTGAATGTTCATCAACGTGACTTGGTACATTATTATGATAGGATTATTTAAAAAAAAGACAAACTCCATTACTCCATTATTGATGTCATTCTAATTTATTAAATACCAAGAAATCTAAGTTAAAACGATTAATCAGTTTAAAACATCGTTAGATAATCTTGAGAAAGTGTATTGCAGTTGATGAATTCCTTATAATTTATAACTATGTATTGTAACAAATTCTGGGTCAGTCACGTTTGGATTTGTTGAAGAATAGAAAAAATACTGAAATAATATCCGGTAAATTATTTAGGCATATGTCTGTAACATATATATTAGGAGAGTGTTCTAGAGTGTTTTTTTCAAACTATAAAGTGTCTTACTATGAATGCTTTAATTACACTTTCTAAGAAAATAATTAGTTAATTAGTTAAATAATTGTTTATTAATTAATTAAAACTTACAACTCATCACGACGGTGCAAATGACAACCAGATTTTATAAAATTTTCAAAAATAATTCCCACGACTTCATTAAGGAGAATGCAAGTAACGTTAAAAGATCTATTCGTGTTGGTTGGTCTCTGTGTTAATATCAACTTGTAGCTTATGTTTGGATGAGTTTAGAGATTGTAAGATTGGAGCTGTATATCGTAAGTTAGTTTTGTTATAAATTAAATTATTTGGAATTAAATTAAAGATGTTTCAAATTAATTTGTTTCTAAATTCGATCAAAGAAAGTCAACCATTCAACAGAACAAAATTTTATTTTTTGGATTTCATCTGACTTTTACTGAAAATCTTCTCTAAAGAAAACCTTTTTCAAACAATTTTGAATCTTTGACAAAGAAGTTCAACCTTATTTTAAAGTGTATACGTCAAACATAACATTGTTCATATTGCGGAAGATATATAATAATGAAATGCATTTGAAATATTTTGATAAACACCACCGAACTCAATTTAAATGGCAGTGCATTATATTATTGTCGTCGGATTGGAATAAACAAGATAACAACAGGCAAACAAGGACATCAGCATTAACCATAAACAACTTGCATGCTATGTTTGTGTGTGTGTGTGTGCGTGCGTGTGTGTGTGTGTGTGTGTGTGCTGGATGTTTTTGGCATGTTTCGTACCTTATTTAACTAATTGTATGTATTGTGGAGTTTTGTATGTGTGTACTGTTTGTACTGCAAATTTATGTATTTTATCTACTGTACCAAAGAAACAATGAGGCTTGAATATAATTGATTCAATAGAATTGATAATCTGATTCTAGTAATGAGCCAAAAATATTGTTACTTGTTCTTAATACTTTATAAAGTTATACATCCAAACGTGAAAATTCAGCAGAATAAAAACCCGTGAAATAAACAATAAAAAAATAAATCAACGAAAAAACCCAAGTGTGCCTACCCGCTTGACTGGCTGGCTGGCTGGTCCGTGTAAGTAAATATTTGTCAATCAATATAATGTAAGACGCATTGGAAATGGTTTGTATGTCAATAAGCATTTTGTTTACTCTTTAATACGGGGGAGGCCATTTTAAAACTTTCTTGTATTTAAAATTATATTTGTTCATAAGTAAGTCAAAAAATCATTCGTTCCTGTGACAACAAATGAAAATTATATTGATGCCGATGGAAAAGATGAAAATGAAGAAGAAAATGACGATGATGAAGAAGTAGATACTGATGATGATGATGTAGCAGAAGAAGACGACGACAACGATAATGATGATGAAGATGAAGAAGATACTGATGACGATGATGTTGATGATGATTGTAATATTTTTGTAAGGTTAGAAAAAAATAAAAGCGACAAACATAAATACATTTATGATGTATGCAACTTCTTAAGATAAGAACGTCGTCATCACTCAACACTGTACCATTCATATAACATTCCATGTAAGCCGTTAAAAATAAAAAACACGAAACAGTGTGATGGCATATTTAATCATATTTTCTGGATAACATTTTTGGTAACAACAAACGAATGATGAGTTGTTTCAATTCTAAATAACAATACTCATAACAATAAATACCGGAAACCGTACCGATTACAATACCGGTTACAAAACCGTAAGCAATACCGATATTATTACTGAGTAAAACCGACAAATACAACACGTTATACTATATACAAACATACAACTTAAGATAACAATCTGAATAACAAAAACAAGTAACGACAGATGCACGGCAAAAATACATATACACATACACACACACCACACACTACACACACACCACACACACACACCACACACTACACACACACCACACACACACATACAAACATACACACACACACACAAACATACAAACACACATACACATTTGTATATAGTTATTTGTATTCATACATTTATATAATCAAATTTGACATGATTACGAATTTTGAGTTATGACTTTGAATTCATTTTAAGCTGTTGTTTCCTACGACAGCTAATTTTTTAAAAAGAAATAATGAGTGTGTGTGTGTGTGAATTGCTTATTTAGTTATTTTGCTTATATATGCGCAAGCAGTTATTGTTATTAAGGCTGATGTTGACTATTGAATATTTCTACCTAATACCATTATTATTATTAATAATCGAAATAATTTTTTTTTAATTTTATTACAATCATTGC